CCGGGATAGTGGCCCAACAAAGGGGAGGTTAGGGCTTGCCCTGGCCATGCAGATGACAAGCAGCTCCATGAACCTCAGTTTCCCCATTGGCAAATTTCTGAGACTCTTTCCAAAGTCCAAAATTCTGATTATTTTTGGAGCATATTTGCCTCTTTTGTATACCTAGGAATGCACCAAATGCTGATAGTGGCTGATGCAGCAATTCCACTAGTAAGTATATATCCAAAAGAAATGAAATTCATATGTCAAAGAGGTATCTGTACTCCCATGTTTACTGCAGCACTATTCACAATAGCCTAGATAGGGGATCAACCTAAGTGTTCATTGATGGATGAGTGGATAAAGAAAATGTGGCATATGTACACAATGGGATATTGTTCTGCTATAAAAAAAAAAAAAAAAACCTGTAGCTTGCAGCAACATGGATGAGCCTGGAAGACATGTTAAGTGAAATAAACAGGCACAGAAAGAGAAATACCACATGTTCTCACTCATACGGGGAAGCTGAGTGAGCTCATGTTATACAAGTAGAGAGTAAAATAGTAGTTATTAGAGGTCAAAAAAGGTAGGCAGAAGTGGGGACAGAGAAGGCTGGTAAACAGGCATAAAAATACAGTCAGATAGAAGAGAATATAGTACAGAAGGAAGACCATAGTTAATAACAATTTATTGTATATTTCAGAACAGCTAGAAGAGAGGATTCTGAATGTTTCCAACACAAAGAATAAATGTTTGGAAAAAAAAAAGAATAAATGTTTGAGTGATGGATTTGGTAATTACCCTGCATTTATCATTACACATTGTATACATGTGTGGAAATAATGCACTGTATCCCATGAACATGTACCATTATGGTATATCAATGAAAAAATTTAAAAAGGGGTTGGCAGTGTAGCTTAGTGATACAGCACTTGACTGCTATTGAGAGGCCCAGGGTTCTGTCCCCAGCATAAACAAACAAAAAAGAAAGAGCAGATATAAACATTAAATTCCTGTCACAAGGAGGCTGGAAAATGCTAATGTTCACTCAGTTCCTGTGGAAGAGGTGCTTGACAGGAAAGAGCCCTGCATTCAGTTTTGCTTCAGGTTTCAACTGATTTCTCTAATTTTTTTTCTGGTACTGAGGGTCTAACTAAGGGCCTTGTGCTTGCCAGGCAGGTGTGGCGCCGCTGAGCCACATCCCCAGCCCTAATTTCTCTATTCTTTATTCATTTTCAGTTTCATTGTTTTCCTCTCTTACCTTCTGTATCTCCTTTCTATTTATTTTGGGATTATTTGTGTTTTTTCAAACCCAAGGCTTTGTATATGCTAAGCACATGCGCTGTCATTAATCTAAAACCCTCATCCTTATTTTGGACTTAGGGCCGGGATTTAGCCCAATGGCACTGCGCCTGCCTCACAAGCACAAGGTCTTGAGTTAGATCTCCAGTACCACAAAAGAAACTTATTTGGGGTTTAATTTTCTCTTCTTTAGCTTCTTAAGGTGGAGGTTTAAATTTTTTTCTTTTTAGGGGGGGGCTTAGGATAAAGTTTAAATTTTAAGCATTTCTTCTTTCCTAATACAAATATTTAAAGCTATAAACTTCTCCCTAAGCACTGTTTTAGTTGCATCTCTCAACTGCAGATTGTGATATATTATGCCAAAGCAGCCTGTAAGCAGTGCAGGTTGTAAAGAGTTAACCCCACAACTGGCTTGTTGACATAAGTGAGTCTGGCAGAAGCCCACATGCCCTGCCAAGGTCAGAGTAACTCACACCCCAATTCTGTTCCCACAATTAAAACTTTTTAACTAAAAGGACAATGTTCTAATTACAACTATATATATTGTCTACTCTGTTCCTAATTTGAGAATGTTGTCTTTTTCCTCTACAAGCCTTTTCTCCATTAGTTTCCATAATAATCGCATAGTCCCATCCTCGAAAGTAGTTTGCCTTTACCCCGATTGATAATCAATAAAAATCAGTGGCTTAGGGCCAGAGATTTAGCTCAGTGGTGCCTGCCTGCCTCAGAAGTGCAAGGTCCTGAGGTGAATCACTGGTACCTAAAAAGAAAAAGAAAAAGAAAAATCAGTGGCTTAGATAGTCCAGTGCCTTTGCTAATTAAATGGCATTGGCCATCCTGGCTTTCTGATTTCTGTCTCTCTTAGTTCTGTCTTTTAGTTTTTCCCTCAGGCTTGTGTCATACACTGCAGCAGGAGATTGGAGCCTACTGCAGAGGTTTCTGGTAATTTCAGGAGTTCTCAGTACTCAACTGTCTATATATTGTTTTTATTGTTATTTAGCCCACATTTTTTCAAATTCCTTTATGATTTCTCTTTTGACCCATGGGATATTTAGATATATATTGGTCCTTTAAAAGAGTCTGAGGACTTTCCAGATACCTTTTTATTGTTCAGTCTTCAAGATCACTAATCCTTTCTTATGTTTTCCAATCTGCTATTAATCAACTTTTCCATTGCACATACTGCACTTTTCAGTTCTGGAATTTCCATTTGGTTCTTTTTTATTTTTCCCATTCATCTGTTGCGATCTGTTAACTCATGATGTTCATTTTTTTTCCTTTTAGTCCTTGTACATATTTATAATAGCTGTTTAAATTCCTTTGGGCTGGTGCCAATTTCTGGGTCATCTTAGGGTCTATTTCTATTTACTGCTTTTTGCTTTTGGCTGTGCCTTGAATTTTCCTATAGGTTCTTTTTTCCTCTTTCACTTGCCTTTTAATTTTTTTGTAGTATATTAGACATTGTAAGTAGTACATTAGACTGTATTCTGTTATCTACCACTAAGGAGTGTTTCTTTTCTTTTCTTTTCTTTTTTTTGTACCAGGGATTGAACTCAGAACCTTGCGCTTGTGAGGCTGGTGTAGTGCCACTGAGCTAAATCCCTGGGCCCTGTTGCTTTTCATTGTAACAGGCAGGTAAATTGCTAGTTGGTCATATTGAAATTTTTTATTTTATTTTTGATTGAGATAAGATAGGGTCTAGGTAGTTCAGGCAGGCCTTGAACTCACCATACAGCCCAGGCTAGCCTCAAACTCATGGTGACCCTCCTGCCTCAGCCTTAGCACACATCTAGGGTTACAGATATGTGCCCCCATGCCTGGCTTGGTCACCGTGAGCTTGTTGAAGCTTAGTCTCACACTTTATAGCATCAGTTTTGGTTTTTTTTCCCTGAATCTCAGGGTAAATCTTTAGTTCGGAGCCAGATTTTAGTCCTACAGTGGTGGCTTTTGGGGAATTATACATGAGAAGCCTGATGTTTACCTAGCTCTCTGAGTGAGATTCACACTCAGACTCTTCTCTGTTGTAGTGGGTAGCAGTCAAAATTTGCTCAGTCTTTTCAAACCTGTAGCTGTTGCTTTTTTTTCTGGGCTCCCTGGATATTCCTCCATTCACAGTGCAGTGGAAAGTTTACAAGCACATTTCAAGACTCCCCCTTTTTCTTTTTGAGGTACTGGGGGTTGAACCTGGACCTTTGCACTGAGCAACATTCCTAGCCCTTTAAAAATTTTTTTGAGACAGGGTCTTGCTAAATTGCTAAATTTCCCAGGCTGTGGGCCATCTTGCCTGGCTAAGTCTTCCCATTTAATAGCTTTTGTCATTCCAGGAAATCTACTTTCAATTTTCAACTGCTCTAGAGTTCAGAAATGTGTCCCCTGACTCTTAAAACCAAGAAAGGCTGGACTTTCTGCTGGACTTCTAGCTGTCCTCCACTGTTCATATTGGAAGTGCCCTCAGGAAAAAACTCCACTTGAGTGCAAGTGGTCCTATTCAGTTGTGGTGGCACAAGCCTGTAATCCTAGCACTCTGGGAAGCGGAGGCAGGAGGATCAAAAGTTCCAGCCCAGACTGTGCAATTAGCAAAACTCTCCCTCAAAATAAAAAATAAAAAAGATGCCGGGGATGTAGCTCAGCGTGAAGACCTTGGGTTCAATTGCCAGTACCATAAAACAAAGCAAAGAACAGCAGCCCTCTCAAAAATCTAACAAGAGTTGAGTCCATTTCATTCTGCTTTTTGTATTCAGGTGCTTTTAAGTAGGTGTCTTTAATATTCTGCCCAGAGTTCATAATTTGTTACCACTGGGGATTCATCTAATAAACTATTCTACCAGTACTGGATCATCTTTTCACTTTTTAGTTTCACTTTCAACTTACCTCTTCACAATCTGCTGAGGTGGAGAAGACGATACATTCATACATTCATATAGGCTGAAGTGCAGTGGTGAGTCCCAGTGTGGGTGGGGATGGCACAGAGTTCGTGCCACAAGATGGGCTTCCCAGAAGAGGTCTTTGCAGGGGCCAGGCAGGACCTGAGTAGACAGGAGGACGATGGTGGCAACTTAAGCCCTGCTCGGTGAATGGGAGGGGTCGGCATGAATGTGATGTGAACACAGTGAGAAACCACCTCAACTGGCTAGAATAGGAAAGTTACACTCTGGGTTCATCCAAAACAAAGAAATGGAGGCAGTCTGGCTCAGGGATGCCCTAGACCCATAGGCATTGTCAAGTTGTTTCTTTCCTGTTCCACAAAGGGTCTCTACTAAGGTGCTTTTGGGGGTGCTCCCCATGAAAACCTGGGGTTGGGGTGCAGAAATCTTCAGGGATGTAGTTGTGCCAGAAGCCAGAAAGAAGGGTACCTTCTGTAGCTCCACCTAGAGGCCAAACAAGAAAAAAAGGGCAAAATCGTCTTCATTGAACATGGGTCAGACTCTCCCTGACCTTGGAAAGCCCACATGGACTCACTCCAGCTCCCAGCATTGCATACCCAGGTTCTTTGACCCTAATCTTTCATCCTCTGAGGAATACACAATCGGCTTTGGGACCACAAAAGGAGGTTTAGGTGAGGGCTTAGGGATTTCTAATCCCAGACTTTGTCCATGGGAGACTTAGGATCTCAAACATGTCGGGGCGGGGGGGGGTGTGTTCCTGTTGGGTGAGGGGCATGGTAGAAGGATAATCTATAAGAGGGACTGGAGGGGTGTGAAGAGCAGCCAAGGAACAAGATGTCAGGGGAAGAGGACTTTTATCTGTTCAAGAACACCTCTTCGGTGGGGCCATGGGATGGGTCTCAGTATCACATTGCCCCCATCTGGGCCTTCCACCTCCAGGCAGCCTTCATGGGCCTTGTCTTCTTTGTAGGGACACCACTCAATGCCATAGTGTTGGTGGCCACACTGCAGTACAAAAAGTTGCGACAGCCACTCAACTATATTCTGGTCAATGTGTCCCTGGGGGGCTTCCTCTTCTGCATCTTCTCTGTCTTCACTGTCTTCATCGCCAGCTGTCATGGATACTTCTTCTTCGGCCGCCATGTCTGTGCTCTGGAGGCCTTCCTGGGCTCTGTGGCAGGTATTTCAGGGGAAGGGGACTATGCGAAGGTAAGGGAAACTACTCCAGGATTGGAGCATGGGGCCGGACTTTTGGGGTGGAGGGGTCCCCTAAGTCCATACAAGAAGTTTGGCACAAATAATGTTTGAGTCTTAACTCTAAACATTGGTCCAACCTTCTGTCTTTCTGGGTGTGCTCCATTCTATCAGTACTCTACTCTGCTGGCCAAGCTGGGTGAGGCTCTGTCCACCTGATTCTTCTCACATTTTCCCACAGGTCTGGTGACAGGCTGGTCACTGGCCTTCCTGGCCTTCGAGCGCTACCTTGTCATCTGTAAGCCCTTTGGCAACTTCCGCTTCAGCTCCAAGCATGCACTGATAGTGGTCCTCGCTACCTGGGTCATTGGTATTGGTGTCTCCATCCCACCCTTCTTCGGCTGGAGCCGGTGAGAGCACAAGGGAGTGGTGCTGACTTGACTAGGTGCTCAGACTTGACTAGGAGCTCAGGTTGATATGCATGGAAAGAGAGGTCGGGGATAGCCTTCTAGTCTGGTGGGGTAGGCTAGATGAAAGGGCTGATGAGTGTCAACATTTACTTTGTAGTTGGAATTACTGTAGCTTCTGCTGGAAAGAACAATAAAAAATCTGGCCTGAAGCCTTCTGGCATTCTCTGGGCTCTAAGTAGAGAATACAATCCATCCAGGAGTCTCAGCTCCCACTCCACGAATTCTCCTGAGAGCCCAGAGTTGAGCAAGTGCTTGGTCTTTTGCAGGTACATCCCTGAGGGCCTGCAGTGCTCCTGTGGCCCTGACTGGTACACTGTGGGCACCAAATATCGCAGCGAGTACTACAGCTGGTTCCTCTTCATCTTCTGTTTCATTGTGCCCCTCTCTCTCATCTGCTTCTCCTACTCGCAGCTACTGAGGACCCTCAGGGCTGTGAGTGACTTTTGAGAGGGTCAGGGGGGCACCAGGTGAGAGGGAAGAATGGGTGGATGCTCTTAGATGTCTGGAAATGTCCATGGCCAGACAGAGGTGTATCTAATAGTGAAGGATGTGGGGCTAGGAGGAAAGACACAATGAAATGAATAAGGTGAAATCATCCCTGCTCAAATAGGTGTCAAAAGACATATGTGGTGTGATCAAAATATACAGTGAATTTTTTTTTTTGAGACAGGGTCTCGCTATGTAGTTCAGCCTAGCCTTGAACTCCCTAGCCCAGCCCAGGCTGGCCTTGAACTCATAGCACTCCTCCTGCTTCAGCTGGTATTACAGGTGTGTACCACCACACCAAACACAGTGAATGTTTAAATTTTTTAAAAAAAATTACTACTGTAAAAGGTACATTGCCATTAATCCCCCTCAAAATAATTACTTTGAACCCAGTTATCCCATTGCTCTTGCCATTTTCTGAAGCAGTTCTGGAGGTCCCCTTGTGTCTTTGCGAGGTGTAGTAAAAACATACAGTGAGTGCTGCCACCAAGTGCCATCCAATGGAAAGTCAGGCTTATAAGATCATTATGGTATGTCCTCACCTACCTTATTCACTGGCTCTGGCACTGACTTCTGGCTCTTTCCAAAAGTAAAAAATGACCATGAAAGGTAAACATTTTGAACAAATTCAGGATATCAAGGCAACCACAACAGCGGAACCAAAGACATGCAAGAGGACCTCCAAAATTGCTTCAGAAAACGGCAAGAATGATGGGTAAGTATTCAAAGGGGAATATTCTGAGGATTAGTGGCAATGTGTTTTACTGTAATAATTGTAACCACTTACCATGTTTTGATCATGCCTCATATGTATGTGGTCCCTTCCAACATGGCAGACCGGAGAGCCCCCTCTATTTGCCTTCCTGAAGGGAGGACAGCCAAAAGAATTTGGCCAGAAGGGAGGCAGAGTGGAGGTTCCCAGTAGAAAGATCTGGGAGTTCTGGGCCAGAGATGTGATACTCTCTGGCTTCTGCCCCAGGTGGCAGCTCAGCAGCAAGAGTCAGCAACAACCCAGAAGGCTGAGCGGGAGGTGAGCCGCATGGTGGTGGTGATGGTGGGATCCTTCTGTGTCTGCTATGTGCCCTATGCTGCCCTGGCCATGTACATAGTCAACAATCGTAACCATGGGCTGGACTTACGGCTTGTCACCATTCCTGCTTTCTTCTCCAAGAGCTCCTGTGTTTACAATCCCATCATCTACTGCTTCATGAACAAGCAGGTAAAGCTATTTCCATGAAGCCCTATTCTACGACTCTGGTTCTTCCCCATCTATGACTTTTAGCCTAGAGCACTCTGGACTCTAGGTTCCTAGAGGCAGACAAGGGAAGGTACAGAAATGCCAAGTAAACACCAAGTAGATCAGAAAGTCCTTGGTAAACCCAGGGAGGATAGAACTTAAACTAGAACAATCACATTGTTCCAGAGTAGAATGAGAAATGAAAAGAATTTGTTTTGTTGAATAGTTCCAAATTTCCAGCATTTTACAAGTTATTAACCCTTCCCCTTCCAAATTCTACCCTACAGGAACAAGTAGTTTGAGATTGGAATTTTGCTCATTTTAAGGATGAGGAAGACATATTCAAAATATGAGTGGATCCTGGGGGCATTGGGGATAGAATGTAAAGTCCTCCCTGCACTATTTTTTTGTGGGGAGGGGTTGAGGCAAGGTCTCCCTTTGTAGCCCAGGCTGGCCTTGAACTCGCAGCAATCCTTCTACCTCAACCTCCTGAGTGCTGGGATTACAGGCATGTGCCACCATGCCTGGCACTTCTTGATGTTATTGTCCCTTATTGTTCTACCAAGGGGACCACCTCCAGTCCTGCCTTTCCTTCCAGTTCCGAGCTTGTATCATGGAGCTGGTGTGTAGGAAATCCATGGCAGATGAATCTGATATGTCCAGCTCCCAGAAAACAGAAGTTTCTGCTGTCTCTTCTAGCAAAGTTGGCCCCAACTAAGGACCCCACATTGGACTGTTTGCAGCAAAGAACTTCCTATTTATGTAAGATTCTCCTTTCTTCATCAAAAACTAATACCATGGGGGGGGGGGTTGGATAAGCAGTAGTGGCAGTTTGGGGCATCAATTCTCCATTTTCCTGATATTCCCTCCCTGCCTACAGAGCTGCCATTCTCAGCTGGGTCTACTGACCACCCAAAGCCCATTTCAACAACCACGTTTCTACTCACAAAGTGGCACCTACTTAGAGAACTATGTACAAGTGTTGATTTTTCAGAATGGCTAACTTATTTTCCTTTTCAGTAACATTTTTTGCCTTTCTAGGGATCTGTTCCAAGATGATGTATTATGACTAAGAATGAACTTAGGAAAATACCTTAGACATATGTGTTGCTAGAGATCGAACCCAGGGCCTCATGCATGCTAGAGCAACCACATTACCACTGAGCTACATTCAGCCCTAAGAAAGCACCTTTGAAGTCGGAGAAACATAAAGAAAAAAGAAACAAATCCAAAACAGTTCTTGGCAAGCCTCAAATGAAAGTTTGAAATGACTTCCTTATGTTGCGTCTACTAAGAGTTGTCCCGGCTCTGGCAGGGGCAGTCCTATCTGCAAGGTCCTGGGCCAGGGTGAATTATTCTAGGTGCTTCTCTCCTGTGCTCCTTTTTGGCTAAACCCATATGTCTTGAACTGTATATTTATTAAAATTAATAGCTCAATTCCCTTGCTGTCCTCAAAATTAAGTTGCATATGTTATTACCATTTATAGAGTATATAGCAAAGTGATTTTTTTTCATCTTTATTTTGAGACAAGGTCTCATTATATAGTTCAGATTGGCCTCATACTCAAGGCACTCCTCCCACCTCAGCCTCTCAAGTGCTGGGATTACAGGTGTATGCCACCACGCCCAGCTTTCAAAGTGACTTTTTAAAAAGCTTTACTTTATAGTCTCCTCCTTCAACTCCTCTGCCCTTCAAGAGGCTTGCTGAGATAAAAACCAAGATAAAAATGTGTACATATATCACATGAAGAATGGTGTGTGTTGGTATCAGGCAATTATGCAATGAGCACTTGGGCTTCTCTCCAGTGATCTGGCCTCCACGAAGCAGAGAAGGGCTATAGCGCATGAGAGGATGTTGAAAACTGCAGAAAACAAGCAGAAAGGAATAACCCAATTTAGGAAAAGGCAACTTTCTCTGGGGTTGGGAGGGGGTACAGTGAACCTTCTAGGAAAATTCCCTTTCTGTGACATTTCTATAGCACATATAATGCTAAGCTAAAGTTCCATTTCTTTTCATTTTTGTGATGCTGGGCATTGAACCAAGACCTCACACATCCCCGGCAAGTGCTTTACCATGGAGCTATCCCCAGCCACTAGAGATCTAAGAGAGTAAAGGACACATATCCCATGACGAATGTAAATAGTTTTATTTAGAAACAGATGGGTACCTGTTTTCATTATAGAATATAAAACACGGTTTACACTCTATAAAAAATAACCAATATCCAAATTCAAGAGAGCTAGCACTCATAAAACACATTATGGGTATGCAGCTATAGTTCACCTAGCTCAGGCTTGATTTAAACCAAAAACAATAAAGAACACCAAAAAACCCAAGGGGTTCACAGAGATGAGAGTACAATGCTTGCGGCCGAGTCTCCCACATCCAGAAGCTGCTGTCCTAGCAGACTACAGTTTACTAAGTTGTGATTTTCACATGAAGCCCAGGATCTCTGCACCTAGTGAACTGCAAGGTTGTCTTGTCACACAGTTCATGATGTGACCTCTCTAAGCCAGGATGGTGGCATTATTAATTATTTCTGGTCTTCTCAACAGTAAAAAGGGGAAATCTGTGAGGCTGGAGGAAGGTCAATGACTCTTTGTTGGGGTTAAACCTGAAGACTGCATCCACTCTCAAGAGCTCGATGAAAAGGCTGGGTGAAGTGACGTGACACTGGCTCTACACCACACAGAGCAGCCCACCTCAACAGGACTGTGGAAGACCGGAGGATACACCTAGGTTCAGAAATAATCATCACCCAGCACCACCTGAATGTATTATCCAGAGATATAGGAAATAATAAAGGTTATATATACATATTTATCTTAGTAACCTGAGGGCTAGAAACTTGGAATATAATAATTCTTCTCAAAAGAGGCCTATTGATAAGAAAGGGACCAGAATGGACAGGGTTCGTTACATAAACTATGGATAAAACGGAGTTGGAAACAGAGGGCGGTTTCTTTAGCTCCTTCTACGAGGTCCCACTCTTTGCTAGGGACTGACCAACTGTTGATCCATAATAAACTTTTTTTTCTTTTGGAGGCAGAGTGGGTGTGAGAAGGAACAGGTATGATGGTCAAGGGCAGGAAAGGTGAACAATGGTCCTCAAACCAAAGAGCCCTCTCTTTGTAGGTCCTTCCACCCTTGGGCCTGAGCTCACACTCTCTGGTGGACAGAGGGGCCTGTTGGCAAGTGGTTTGCATTCTGAGGTATGAGGATCCCTGGTGAAGTCAGCAGCACGTGGTTTTCAGAAACCAGCCCACAAGATAAGAACACTGCATCCAAGCTTGTAACTAATACTGGTATTTAACTACTGTCCAAAGAGAAAAGGAAGGAAAAAAAAAATCCCCACTATACTGGAAGGTTTAAGCTTTCATATAAAATTGTCCAAATACTCTGTTTTATCTTAGGTTTTCTGCACAAATTCTCATTGAATGATCATTTCTCTCATTAAAGGCACTTTCAATGACATGACTGGAAAGGAGTGATTTTTTAACTGCAGTGAAACCAAGATTAATTCCAGGGGAAGAGGAGGTGAATGTGGCACTTACAGTGATTTCAACAGGCAAATAATTATGTTTGGAGCGTTATGACAGATACACACTCAAAAAAAATGTATACCCTGAACACACTTGTATTTTTCACTTAGTTTTCCAGCTGTTTCTAGCTGGAAACAGTTCTATTAAGAGCTAGAAATAGGTCTGTAAAGAGAGCACACTCACTACTTGATTGATGTTCAAGTCACTGGCCCTAACTCTTCCCACCACAGCTGTGCTTTACAAAATTCGCAAGTAGCTAGTCCTATAGGGGAAAAAAGAATGAAGTTGATCCAAGCTTGGTTATAGCACAGGGCTCTATCCCTGCCCAGAAAACAGCAGGTCAGCTGCTGGACCCATAGCAACTGAATGAAGTACGTGGCCCTACTACTTGTGAAATGCTGGACTTTTCAAAAGGGAAGATTATCTCTTTAAACATAAATTGTGGAGCATATATTTTTCCTTTTTTCTCCCTGAACATATTCTTATTGATCTCAGGCTTTAAAAATTAGTTAAATGAGCATTATAAAAATTACATGATAAGGGAGTGAGAAAGAGTAAAGGTTAATGTTTGCCTACATGTTTGGGCTGAGGATCTTGATCCTTCATATCATACTCCCAACTAGAGAACAAATATAAAAATAAGCACACCATGTTATACATTATACAAAGTGTAAATCTACAAACACAAGTGTACTAATTATAGAGTTGTTCCTTAGAAGCACATTTTCCCTCCAGTCCTTGAGGAGGAGGAAGAATGGGGATGGGATGGTTTTCATTATTTCATTACGCCTTTTCATGTCTGAAAAGTTTGTAGTAACAGTCTCAGTAGCGGAAACAATTTCATATGAAACCAGAAGCTGTAAAAATAAATTACTTTTGAAGAGACGTGGGTTCCTCTTTACGCAGCTCAGAACTCATCATGTCGTACTAAGGCCTCCCCAAAATCTGTGGCCTGACTGCCAACAAATAAATCATACTTGTCGACAATCTCCTCCTTCGTAAGCTTGCCATCCTGAAGTTAGAGAGAGCAGTGAATTGAGGCAGAATTATTTCCCATTCCAAATTCCAAAACTCTGCTATAGAATAATAGTGGCTAATTAGGATTTAAGATTTGAATTCCCACTAAATGTAAACTCAGCCCTCATCTCCTCACCCCTACTAAACACACACGCACACACACGTGCACGTACACACACTCACCCAAAAGGGAAGAAAAGAATGTTTCTCTTACCAAGAAAGTTAAGAGTGGAGAGTGGAGGGTGGGGGTAAAAATAAAAGTGAAAACTGGGCTGGCGACTTAGCTCAGTGATTCCACTGCCTGCCTCAAAAGCACAAGGACCCGAGTTTGATCCTGGGTACCAAAAATAAAAGTGAAAACTGAAAGGATGAACATAATATAGCTTAACTCCAACAGAGAGATACGGGTCTGTTTCTTGAGGAACAAACTCTCCCTTTAGAGTAAAACATGGGCATAGACTTCAAAGTGAATCAAATTATTGTCTAATAGGAACAATGAAACCTGTCAGTATCTAGCCTAGTCTGCACTTCCCTTCTGCCCCGGTCACCAACCCAAACAAAGGCCCACACACTTATTTTAAACAGTACCAAGATTCCCAAAGGACAACTGTTCACATTGCCTTTTCTCACAAAGCTCAGAATATGGCACCTGGCTATTTAAGTGACTGAGCAAGAACTCAAAAACAGATCAACCCTTAAAAAGGCTCTAAGGTAGAGATGGAAACCTTTTAGAACTTTTAATAACAAATAGGCTGCTGTGGCATGCATGCCACAGGTTCACCACCACTGCTCTAAGGTAAGAAACTACAGATTAGCTTAGACTAATTATTCTAAGCAGAAGATTCAAATCTGAAAAAAGGTGACAGGGCGTAGTGGTAACACTACTCGTTTTTTTTTTGGTACTGGGGATTGAACTCCAGTCCTTGCACTTGCGCAGCAGGCGGTGAAACCACTGAGCTAAATCCCCGGCCCTGATAACACTACTCTTAATGAACTGAATGTCTGAGACAACTGATCAAGAACAATTTTAATAGGCTCCAGAAAAAGCTGTTTTATAACCTGTGGTAGAGGATCTGATTTTTAAAGACAATAATCAATTTGAGCAGACAGAATGAACCTTAAGAGGTAAAACAACAAAGGAAATAACAACGACAACAAAAAAAAAGCAAGAAAATTTCCCGGGGATCCAAAGATAACAGGGGATACATGCTGGTACAGCCTATACAGAGAAGCTCTTTTCTGAAGCCCAGGTTCCTCCAACACTAAGAGCAC